AAGGCCAAAATGCGCCGCTAAACTATGGCGGCGCGCTGGAGCTCTTTTGGGCGTTGTAGCTGTTGGAATGGAGCACATTCGACGAAATTTCATGAAAATAGTTAAGATCGTTTGTTTGTTGCATGGACAAAACAAGCAAGAATTGTAGTCGTAAAGCTGTTAGCGCTGCATACTGATTGCGGTCTCGATTTCAAAAATACACACATCCACACGTCTAAATACTTTTTTGCACACATTTATTGTTCCTGTGTGTGTGTGTTTATGAGGGACATGTAATGAGTGGCAAGTTCAAATGCCATAATAAAGGCTTTATGGGTGCATCCAACGAAAGTGGCTAACACACTAACCTAAAAATAGGCGAAAAATCAGGGTGTTGAAAAGAAAGACTTGTGGACATTTATTATTACATTATTTACTTCGTCAACACAATGTTTTGATATACTTAAAAAATTTCTTATGATAACTAAGCTAATTTCATAAATATAATTCTAAATCACACGATCATGCAGGAACACATTTTTTATTTATGAAGGGTATTATGCTTTGGCTGAACCGAAGTTAAATTTTTTCTTGTTTTTAAGTCGCTTCAGTTCTTCAAAAATTATGTTATTGTTCCATATGTACATACATCGATAACTGCTCATTTTACCATTACATAGTTAGTTTTGCTGAAAGTATCAACTTTTTACGGAAGTCCCAACTGATCCTAAGCACTGAGATAGTTTAAAAATGACCTCCAAGATAAAGAATAGTAGTTATGCTGTGCACTTTTCGTTAAGCGATCCATATCAAACTACACTACTAGCTCTCTAGTTTTTCTTTCTAAATCATTTTTGAAACTAAACAAATTAATTCATATGTCATTTACCCTTCTTCCAAGTTTATTATTTAGTTCATAATTTTAAAATTCTGGCACTAATGCTTGTACAGGTAGGATCTGTATTGGAAATAGTAATGTTATGTTATGTTATGTTAGTTATAAACTGCGCTACGAACTGTGGAATTACCTCTATAAAGCCCTCTAATTTGGATTTGACTAAGCTGTTAATGCGGAGTTATACATGTATACCGAAGTACGGTTTAAGCAAGTAGTTGGAGGTAGCACATGTAATGTACAAGTATAATTGTGAGGTTATTAATATAGTTTTTAACGATAAATTTATTTAAATGATGATTAATTTAGGATTTTGGCTTCAGTTCTTCTACTTCTAATGCATTTTTCTGACTATTTATTGCACATTGGCGATCCAGTCAATGTTATATGTTTCAAAAAGTACTCTCAGAAGAGTTGAGATGAACAATTAATGAAATATTAAATTAAATTAAATTTAAAAAATTTTAATATTTGGTAAACTAACTGTCATGCTTGTATTGAGAGATTTGAAAAATTGAGAGATTTAGAAGTAAGTAAGTAAGCTGGCTTGTTCTCTTCACAAAAAGATAACCAAATTATTTCATTATGAAAACTCAGCAACCGAAATGTTATAAAACAACAAAACAATGCCGTAATGAAGGAGAGATATGAATGAAAAAGGCAAAACAAAATCAAACATTGGAACAAATAAAATCGTCACGAGACGTAACTTGCTATTAAAACAAAGTATTACGATCACCTACATACATATATAAAATAAAAGCAGCAACAACAAACGATAATAATTTTTAATAAAGTATGTGGTTTCATTTGAATTTAAAAATACTCACGAACACATACCAACAAACAGAAATATTCAAAAATATGTTAAAACGTTAACAATGTCAGACTGGCGGCTCAAAACCGCAACAAACAAAGCTTTACAAAGCAAATATACACATATACATATAATGTATAGATCTGTGTTTGTGTAAAGTATACGCAGTGGAGCGACTCAACGCGTTGAAGGGTCTTGCGAGTAAAGCCCAAAATCAAAACAACAAAATTAATCGCTAACAACAACAATAACAGAAAAACAGTATTTCGCTCTCAGTCGGTCTTCGCGCTGCTGGAGGGTCACAAACAATTTGCTCTATGTAAACGCGTTTGCGGGGCAAAAAGCGCACGAAAACATGCAAAGCCATTTATAGTACATATTTATATATGTACATAGGTGAAAATCGAAACATTCTTACGATAAGGCGACTCAGCGCGACGCCGAACTTCGCCGCTTACAATTTCTGCTGTATTGCTCTTACATTTTTGCTTTTTTCTGCTTGAGACTTGGGATAGGTCGGGCGCTGCTGTTGTGCTGTTGCCTTCCGCAACGCCACATTCACACGCACACACCGAATACAGCCACGCCACGCTCCGCCAGCCCCACATACAGTGCGCTGGAGTTATATGCTGCTCACTTTTGCTTTCTGCTGGCTCCTCGCGTTCCTTATGGCCCTTGCCAGCTACTTGTGTGCGCCTTTTTACTAAATTCTTATTTTTTATTTGCTTTCGCTTATTGCGGTTCTATACACACAGTGTTCTGTGTTGAGCTGCTGCAATCGGCAATCGGCGCTCGTCCGCTTGCTCGTCGTCGTTGCGGCGCGCTGACGCGAGTGACGTTGTCAACACACACTTTCTGCTTGTCTTTTCGTGGCGCATTTCGAAACGTGCATGTTTACCGATTATCACATATAAATTCATTTATATTCATTTTTTGGGGATGGCGCATACACACATATACATACTCAGCTGGATATTTTTATATTCAAACAAAGCGCAGCACGTTCATTTCTCATTCACAATATTCAAAATATTGTGGAAGGCTTGAAATACTTGTGTCAATATGCAAATATGTATGTAGATACGTATGTAAGCGGGAAAATGAAATGGCGTGAAGAACGCGGCGCGCACGATTTGTCTTCAGCGCGAATATTTCCAATTTATACACATACAAACTTGGCACATGGTAGTCACTAAATAACTATAAATTAATAAAAAATTATTGTTAGCAATATTTTAGTGCGCTTCCTCATTATTCCTATCCACTTGTCATGCCCTTTTTTACGGTGACTGTCAATATTTCCCATGAAAAGCAAAGCGCTCCAAGTAATACCAACCAGCTGTCAACTCTACGTGAGCGCGAATCGATAAGTGAATGCTTGGTATATATGCCTACCGCCCAGCTCACACCACTGGTCACGGAGGCATGCAAAGCGCCTCATGCCAAGCTATTATACATACGCTCACAAAGATTAACACGTGTGTGCCTGCGACTGGTGCATCAATGTACCACACATTTGTATATGAATTCCTTCCGCAATCGCCACCCTCACCATGCTCCCATCAATTCATAGTTGGGCTTTAGGCGACCAACAGTGAGCGACTCGCGTCTGAGTAATAACAAAAAATATTGATTAAATTCTTCTATTTTGTTTGTATTCGTGTAAATGTGTAAGGCGCATAACGGTAAGCGACTGAGTGAAATCATAAATCCTCGTGCGGGCCGATCCACAATAACGGCAATAGGATTTATGATTGAGGGGGTATTATGAATTTTGAACGGCAAAATAAAGACAATATTTCATAATAATTCGTGGAAATGATTTGATAAATAAATAATCGGAGTGTTTTTATAAAAAGAAAAGAGAGATGGACAGAAAAGTGTAGGAGCAGATTCACAAACCTCCTGAGCTTTCGGATTTAAAAAATAGAAGTAGCTGGAAAATCACTTTGGCATTTAAATATGAAACCAATTTCTCATTTAACAAAGTCCAAAATATAAATCAGTAAAAATTTGCTTCGTCACTGTTCTTTAATATATACATATATATATTTAAGTGATATAGCAACTCACGAAAGTGCAAAAATATTCGAGAGTTTCATTAAAATTAGAAGGACTTAATTGAATTTATTTTTTGGCGAGTTTTACCAATAAATATAAAAAATTGAATGAAGAAGCTCAAAAACTTTAAATATGATTAAAAAAAGTGCTGTAATCGAGACACTTCGAATTTTAATTGGGCTTGCACGGCCTCACGCCATAAAACTTCAGGTCTACCGCTCTATAATGTAACAATTTTCATTTGAAGGATGTAAGCACAATTGATATCAAACTGGTATCTAAGATGGAACGAAGATAAAATAAAAATAAGTTTTAAGAGAAGGTTAATAAAATTGTTCGACCTAAGGAACTTGCCTAAAAACTTGAACTAATTATCTTATCGTGAAGTTTTACAAAGTCTTACAGGAAGAAGAAGAAGTCTATTGCTTTCTTCGAAGTTTGTTTATGTATACCAAATTTCTCTTTTGTTAAGTCCATTTTGATTTAGATGGCTCTAAAGTGACCATAATGGCAAACAAAAGATGGGAAAAAAGCAAGCACGAGTGCTTTGGCAGTTTCGGACAGTTTTTTGGGAAATACACGTTGAAACACGAGATAAGACTACTAATTTTGCGGGAGTAAAATAAGTTAGTTTACCGACAATGATTACTATTGAGGAACCACGAGGTATTGTGGCACCGTTTCAAAGTGTATACCATAATACTTTTTATCGGTTATTACAACTCTAATTTCAGCGATTTAAAAACGGGCCAATAAAACTAAATGCTTTCCACCATTCCAGTAGAATATGGAACATTCTTTTTTGCTTAAAAATCTACTAAGGACATTTATCAGGAATGATAAATTGGATGGCATCGAAATGGAATGTAGAAAGCTCTGATTAACTCAGTTCGATTAATAATAAATATTTTTTTGCACAACGCTCATTAGAAGCAAACGTGATTGCTAAAGAACAGCATGCTCCCATAGCTGCTTACACTTCAGACTAATTTATATCAAAGCATTCTCGAATAAACTCCGTCAGTCAGTCGAATTTAGGCGGTTTCGTATAGCTTTATAGAAACAGTCTCTTATCTAATTTAATTTTTATACAACAAATTGTTGTAATATAATAAATCGAACAACGCGGCCATTTGCAAAGATCACACACCTTCATATATTGATTCGACACGCTTGCAAATAACCATATAAATCGCTATAAAGATATAAGCATATATGTATATAAAAGTATATATCGCTTGTACTCACCTTCAAGTTTCATGCCAACCTCCAAACACTTCTGGAATCTACAGTAGGGACAGCGCTTACGTTGCGTCTTATCAATGTGACACGAACGCTCGGCGACGCACGTGTAGACCTTCTTATTCTGCACGGTGCGCTTGAAGAAACCTTTGCACGACTCACACGTCAGCAGGCCATAATGATAGCCGCTCACTTTATCACCACAAACGGGGCACAATTCCTCAAACAAATGCTTGAAATCGATGCCCTCACCGGAGCCACCAGCGCTAGCACCAGTGCCCCCCGACGACATGCCCATATGGCCACTAGACGTGGCCGGTGGCAGGAGAGTCATATAACCGCCAGCAGCATTCGCACTGCTGCCATTGAGCAGCACAACATTGGTGGCATTGCTGCTGGTGCTGCTACCACCGCCACCACCAGCGCCACCGCCGCCACCACTAACGCTCTGCTGCGAGTGCGATGACGTATTGTCTTGATAACCTGTCGGGAATACGTATTGTGAGTCAAAATTATAAATGTACGAATATGAAAAGTTGGGATTGTTGGCAATATTCTGTTGTTGTTGCTGCTGCAGCTGCTGCGGCTGCTGTTGTGTTTGATAGTGTTGCTGCTGCTGCTGTTGCTGATGATGCTGTTGCTGCTGCTGCTGCTGATGATGGTGGTGATGATGTGTGCTGCCTGCATTTGTTGCACCACTGCCATCACTATTGCCACCGCCCGCATTGCCGCCACCGCCAGCGCTCAAGTGCAGCGCATAGCCGCTATAATCCGCGTCGCCGCCACTCAAGGCATTCGCATCCGTATTGCTGCGATTGGCTGCAGCGCCCGAACTGGCGTTGGTCTGTCCATTATTGGGACCGCCTGCGCCACCCAAGGCGGGACTGGACGGCTGTTGGGCATCCAGTTGCATGGTGAACGGTGACATATTGAGCGACGATATGAACGACGCCGTTGCTTGCTGTTGTTCCATTTCTAATAACATTTTTCACGCTCTATTACTGCTACTACTACAATTGCACTGTCGAACGCGTCCAGCGCACACAACATTTATATAAACACTAAACGAATATGCAGCAAATTGGTACGTAGGCAACACGTAAAAAGGTAGTAGTGGCAAGACAAAAGCTATGCGTGAAGCTGCCGCTGCTGGTTGTCCAATGTCTGCGCGCTCAGTACCAATTAATAATAATTCGCACTAATTCGTTTGCAACGCTTCCTGTTGGTTGTTATGTATGTATATATGGTATGCGTGTGTTGCGCTGTAAGTGTTTGGACGGACGACAATTCCACGCGTTATAAATCCGTAGGCAGTTTAGTAAGCCCGCGCGTATAACAATAAAGCGCGAGCTAGAACTAACAGGTAGCTTGGTAGTTTTGGTAGAAAGGTTCGTAGGTAGTTTGAGTTCACGTTGAGGTCCACTTTTACAGCGTTTAGGTAATTGGTAGCTAATTTAGGTGCGCTTATGCTAGATGCTTTATATGTTGCTGGGTATGTTTTGTTTGGGCAGGGCGTGGATAATAAGTATAGATGTTACAAAACGACACGCCTCGAGGTGTTCCTGCCGTTATTACTGTTATTGCTGTTGTTGTCGGCACGTAAAAGGTACACAGTGAGTGTTTAAGTGCGCGCGCGTTGCAGCCTGTGACTGACTGACTGTGTGACTAACTGCTATGCGCTGTTATGTGTCACAGCAGTTCCAGCAGTTCTGAGTGCTGTTGCTGTTGTTGGTGACAATATTTTGACGTTCGATGTTACCGCGGTGATGTACGCTGCACAAATTAACACTTCTTTGACACACACTCACGCACGCGGCGCGGCACAAACACGAACACTTCTGCGCAGTCGCCGCGTTGCTGGGAATTTTCGTCTGACGTTTTGTTTTTATTGCGTTTTTCTTGTGTTTTCTTTAGTTGTTAAAGGCAAATGATTTTGCTGTGCTTTTGTTTTGCATACAATATGATTTCTTGCTTTATGCCTTATTTATTTGCTCTTAAGTTGCGCTTAGCTTGCTGGCATGCGCTTCGACGATTTGACTGGCACAATGGTTTGTTCTTGTTGTCACTATTTGCTGATGTTTTGTATGTAAAATTGGTTGATCTTTTTTGTTTTTGTATTGTTGTTGTAACACTACGTGCTGGTAGAGATTTCACACTTCACAGCAACAAAAAAAAAATAAATGTGTGGAAAAAAGAATATTAAAATTTATCTGTTAAATACCAACAATAGAATTATTACTATATTTTTCGTTGTAAAACTGAGTTTTGGCGTTTTTACCAAAATTTGCTTTCACACACGATCATACATGTAGCTATGTAGCGCGCTGCAGTTTGCGTATAAATTTTTTAGTTTCTTGTTTGTTTTTATGAATATTTTATTAAATTTTTGTATTCTTAAATTCGTTTTTTTTTTATTAATTTTTAATAATTTTGATTAGTTAAATATAGATTTCTTGTTATTTAACTTTTGGTGGTGCGCCTGAGGTGTATTGGTTGATTGATTGCTGATGCTTGTTTTAATGAGTTGCGTTGAACACTTAATATATTAAAGTGTAACGATTTTTAAATAATTTTTATTTAAATTTCTTACGGTTTTAAAGCATTAAACGCGAACGCTGCGACTTTTTGGCTTTTATTTGCACGAAATTTGATGTTGCATGCCACAAAATCTAGCAATTTTTTTATTTCCTTTTTTTTATCAAATTGCTTTGAATAACTTCTTTGCTGCTAATTTTTAAATTATGCTAGCGTTTTGCACACTTATTGATTTATAAACACTTAAAACAACAACAGTAATATACTTATATACATACTATATCCCTCTATATATTTATATGCAGGTACTGTAATATTTCGATTTTTCATCACTTATTCTCACCGTTTGTTTTACTTGTTTTTGTTTTTTGCTTTTTGTTGCAATTTCTTTGAGTTCTTTCAGCTAACGCTTTTTCAGGTGGGAGTTGTTGGCTTATATCAGAACTTGGTTTAAAAACTTCTTTGTGCACTTTCTGCAGTTTTTCATACAAATACATACATGTCTGTTGTTGTTATTGCTAAATACTGCGTATTTTGCCTGTTTATTATTGTTGCTTTTACGACTTTTTTTACACACTTTTATGCACTACTGTTTGCATTTGTTGTTGTATTTGTATTGTTGCTGTTATTGTTGCGCTTGATACACTTTTTCGCCTTTTTGTGTTTGTTTTACGTTGAGATTGCACTTGAATTGCAACAGAGGCACACGCAGAGTTGCACTTTTGTTGTTTGATTTGTTTTTGTTGTTTTTTTGCTTGTTTTTGGTAATGAGGGTTATAATGGTTTACTTTGAAGTTGCACTTGATAAATTATGACTCAGTTGCAATTTACTAGTTTTGGAGTAAAAGTGTTTTCATGAGGATTGTTGCAAGGGAGGCAGGTTTGTTTAAATTTTGTACGCCTTTTCACTACTGCTCGTAGTTATGGTAAGTATAATTTCCATACATATATTTTATTTTTTGGAAATTTATTTTGAATTTCTTTTAAATTTTTTCTTAGTTCGCGAACACACATCTAACACACAAGACTTGTTTCTGTTGTTTGCTGCAAATTATAGCTTTATTAAAATTTTATAGTTTATTTGTGGTACTGCTAATGCTGACTTATTGACACTGTTTCCACTATATAAAGTACTGCGTGCCATTTTTTGTTGTTGGCTGAAGAATGTAAATATTTTCAAATAATAATAAAGGTACACACATTCGCGTCACTCGTATTTGACCCAGCGCTGCGCGTTGTTGCACAATTTGCCAGCGTTGAAAACACACGAAAAATAAATTTTTAGAAGTTTTGTTTGTGTTTCGTTGATTTATTTTTATTATTCTTTAAATTTTAAACGGCAACTATGGTTGTTGCAATGTTGGCGCACGGCGCGGTTCGTTGCAGCTAGTTGGAGTTGGTTAGCCGTTACCGTTGCAAATAATAATGCACATGCCACAACTCACTCGCTCCAACTGTTTAACTGCTATTGCTACAGTGTGTGTTGGTGTACTTTAGTTGGCTACTTGGTCCGTGTTTGGCTGGCAAGCTTGTTTAGTTGTTGGTTTCATTAGTTGCTTGTTTTTAATTTTTATTTTTTGTATAATACGCTTGTTGTTGCTTTGGTTGCTGGTGGCCGTGCCACGGACTTAACTGCTTCCGCTGTGTTTTGCTGGCGCTCTGGGTTATGCTTCTTAAATTTATTTTGAGAATTTTGCAAGTGCTAGTTTATTTGGGAATTTTGCTATTGGTTGTTGTTATTATTATTTTAATATTTGCTAAGCATGTTCCGACTGCATTGACTGTCTAAAAATTAGATTTTATATTTATTTTTGTTTTGTTATTGTTGTAATTCAGCTTGGTTTAAGGAAAGCGCACACAACCACTTATACAAGGAACATAATCCACGGTGCTGTTCTTGTACAAGCAGAAGCGGCACTTTTGGTAAACTAGTTATTGGGTAGTATAGAATTTGGTGTTAATTAATTTTTTTTTAATATTTTAGAATT